ATTCTTCGTTTAGAAACTAAAGCGATAGAATATAATCTGTGCTTAATATAACTTCTAGAGATATTACATTAAAATAATGTGAAAATTACTATTCTTTTGTCATAAATTCTTCTATTCTTTGCTCTTCTTTTTAAGTTTTAACAATGAATTAAAGCTATAGGATTTTTTAAAACTAAATTCATAAACGGAGAACTTTATTAAAAAATTTTAAGCCAACACTATCCAACATGATAGTTATTTACATTATGATTTGTGGTAATGTTAATTTAACTGGGAAAGATACCGAGCATAAACTATAATGGTAAAATTTTTCGTCCCAAATATTAATACAGCTTTCTATGGGAATAATAGATTGTGTTATTATAGAAGATAAATGGAAGTCTTGAAGCAAATGAAATGGAAGTTTCCCATGTTACTTGCATATTTTTTATTTTTATCCTTTTTTTTACATTCAATTTATGAAAATTTCTTCAATAAAATATTTAAGAATTGAAAAATTATGGAAATTTTAGCTTGAATTGTTTGGCTTTTTTCTAGATGGGTCATCAGCATCCTGCTCAACAGATCGTCCCTTGGTGGATCCATCATATTCAAGCAATATCACCTCTTGTACGCAAAATATCGTTAAAAGGAAAAGTTTACGGTAAGCTTCACTATTTTTTTTTCTTAATTAATGCTTTTTCTTTCTGTTTTTTTTTCTTGAAACTGGTTGTGAGTAATACGAAAATGAGGAAATGAATGAGAGATGTATCAAAAAGTATTACGATTATTATGATATTAACAACAAATTTCTTTTTTCTTTTTTTTCAAAGAACAGTGAAATTGAAACAATGAAGCAAAAAAATGAGAAAGAAAGGAAATTTTCAGGAAAACAAAGTCATAAGATTAATTCATTAGAATATTTGTTTTTCGCTCAAGAAATTATTGAACTTTTTCAAGTGCTGACTTCATGTTATTTAATGATAGAAATATAAATTGAATGATGATAAAATTAAAACGATGTCAAAAATTTTTCTGGTAGCACATTTGGGATACATCGAAAATGGCTGTCAATTTATGTCATGTTACTAATTTTTTGGTTAATTCAATCATCATAACTTTACGATTTCTAATTTAACCTAATTTTTTTCTTGATTTTGTTACGGAATTATTCTAATTAATTTCGAAATTTATTATTAAAATTACTTATTAACTATTTCATTGCTTATTTTATTCGAAAGCAACTGATAATTTGTTTACTTCTGTTTGACTTTTTCAATCTGTATATGCTAAATTTGTTAATTGGAATGAAAATTATAACCTATCCCAATGCAAAATATTCAAGCAAAAACAAAACAAAAATGACTCAAACTGCATATGATGTAGACAACGAATCGTTTATGCTGGTTGATTTAGCACTAAGTATCATAAACTTCTGTAGGAAAATATTAATCCTGTATAGGGTTATGTATAACTCCTGTGTATCATTGCTATAAAATGTATGTTCTTATTAATTTGAAATTATTAGTCTGAAAAAAAATTGATGTGGTTAATATTTTGCTTAAAAAAATACTTGTAAATTAGTTGTAAATTAGCAAAGTTTATCCGGGACTTCATTATTTATGTTTAGTTTTTTTCGGTAATTTTTAGGTATCATTTGATTAAGATTATATTGAATATTTAATTGGCATTATATAATTTGGTTGCTTTCGTTTATTGTCAGAAAGTGAAAGAAATGTTTTTTCTTTCTTTAGAAAGAAGAAAGCTATTGAAAATAAGAGAACTGATTATTTGAATTTAGTTACAAGTATCTCTCAATATGCAGAACTTATTGTAACTTACTTTGAAGAGTTCCTTATTTTAGTTTAGGCTTTTTCAGTTAATTTTATGCTCTTTTCTCGTTTTCATTCATTTTTATTTGAAATTGATTTTAAGCTTCCTTTGCTCAATATCGAAAGTTAATTAGATTTCCGGATGTTCTTTTTTTTTTTATTAACGCCTCCTATTACTTTTTTTAATTCCTTTTTTTGAGTCAAGGTTTTTATTTGAGGCCTTTTTAATCATTTTCAGATAAGCAAATATATCTCAATTAATGAGACCTTTTTTAGACGTTTCTTCAGTAACGGTCAACAACAACAAAGTTCATTGAGCGGTATTCATTCGCGTCCTCAGTCTGTATCATTAGCAACACGAAAAGGTAGTGGACAACAACTCCGGCATAGTGCAGCTGATCCACTTCATTCAGGCTTAACCGAGCAGCAACAAGATCATTTATTACCAAAGGTTTGTTTAGGATTTGTGCTAATTTTAGGACCGAATTTTAAAGACGCAAACTGTCTGCTAGCTATATACTCCTTGTAATATATCCTCTCCAACACGAAGAAGAAGTAATTTTTTAGTCCGACAAATATACTTTATTTGCTTGAGCTTTTTGACAGTTTTTTTTTTCATCTATTTTTTCATTTTATTTGCTAGTTTTTAAAATATGTTAATATGTTTCAAGTAAGTGCTTATTTATCACTAATTTGACTCTGCATTGGCATCTTTGATCTTATCTGCTGATTAAAAAACCAATTAAATCATGGAAAAATGCTTTTGTACGGTTGGCTTTTTTTGATAAGATTATATGTTGATTTTTTTTGATAAGATCATAGGTTTTATGAAGCATAAATGCGAACTTTGTACCATTTGATCATTTTGCATGAATTTTATCCAGGGATCTATCATTTTGATTCTTGCTCCGTCTTTTGGGAATATTTTTTTTTTGGTAAATGTTCAAAAAGAAAAAATAAGGAATTCTTTAGCATGTAAGTCTTGTTCATACATTTCCAATCGTGTTAGCATATACATTTCCAATTGCAATTTGCTCATATTGTTAAATCATTTTGCGAAAAGATTTCGACTTTCTTAAAAATTTAATTAACAAAATAGATTATTTTATTATTATTACAGTGCTTTCTTTCTCTATTCATATTCACTGAATTCCACTCATTTTCAGCTTAGGCTTATCTATTTCAATTCTCAAATCTTTGCTTCAATTACATATAATAGACATTTGTGCATCTATGAAATGATTTTTTTCATTCCCATATTTTTTCAAAGATAGCTTTCGATCATTTCTAACTCACTTAATCATCAAATCGTTTCCTTTAGTTCATTTTCTAGTTTTTAAAGTAAATTATTCCCAATTGCATCAAATTTCTTATCAAATTTACCTTCTCTTCATTTTCTTTAAACTCTTTTTCTCATATATTTTATTATCCGATTTGGTTGCGTTTTTGACAAAAATAGTGACTTCTTTTATCCTTTATTCATACGAATCCTTTTTTTTTGTCTTTCCTTTTGAGATTATTTAATGGCCTTTGTCTCTCTCATTTCACTTTCCCAACTTCATCTTTCCTTTCCCTTTTCCTTTTTCTTTCTTCCTATATTCTTCCTTTCATTTGCTATTTTTTCTTTCCTTTTTTTTCTTCAAGTTTAAAAATTTATCTTCAGAAAAATCAGATACATTTAAAAACATAATGTTTGTTTCTAGTCATTGTTATTCTCTTCATTCCGTTTAAGTAAATCATATGCCTTAACGCTTGCTTTTTAATACATATTTAGTGTAAATTGATTGATTTTAGCAACTTTTAATAATCATTAAATAATGTTTATTGACAAGTAATCAATAACTTCATCGATTAGAATTTTTTTAATTAAAAAAAGTTTTGTTCCAATTACATTGAACGGAACATAATAAAAAATTATTGACAAATTAATGTGTAATTTTTGTATCATTTCCTACCATGTCGTTTATCTTTAGGAGAATCATGATAAAATTGTTATGCGAATTTCTTTCATCTTCGTTTATATTTGATGAACTTAAGTGATAAATTGAAAATTTTAGTTGGAAAAAAATTTATAGACTATAAAAATATCATATAATAAATGATACACTTAATGCTTCACTCTTTCTTTCATATCATTATCATCGGTTCTTATTTTCTTCACTTTTTTTTTTGTTCATCTACGAGGAGATAAAATATCTTAGTAGATATTAGATGATCGTTTAAACATGGAACTATGATGCTTCAATTTATTTCTGGAAACATTCCTCAAATAGAATTATCAATGATTTGTCGCGATAATTATAATTAATTGTTTACCATTTTCATTCATATTTTTGTCGTTAATTGATTGTTTGATATTCAAAGTTGCTTTTCATTTCGCTATTCAGGAATGCAACTCACACTTTCCAAACATACACTAATTTTGCTGTTTGTGTTTTCGCTATGATAATTTTTGTTTAATGAAGACAAAAGACGAAAATCTGAAATGAAAGATTGAGAAGTGAAAAATTTTAATTTGAATTTGCAGAATCAATTCTGGACAAACTTTCATTGATAAGTCGTTCCGTTCAATATTTCACAATCATTTGTAGCAGTTATATTCAGACTTTCTTTTTTTCTGTTGCTCAAACTCTTGTATTCATCTGACATTGTTATGAATTAGCCTAATATTATATTATTTCTCAAATCCATGTAACTTAAATGGACAATGTATTTATCATCTAAATATTCTGCATCCTTTTAAATATAATCACCTCCTTTTATATATATCATATGCTTATTGCTATCTTTGGTCTATCAAATGCTTCCAAGTATGCACAAATAATTTGTTAATATTATTATTGCTAGCTTTACTTTCATTATTTATGCTAAATCTTTTTGATGATTAAATTTATTTTATCTTGAGATTATGTAATTTTCAGATTGTCCACTTGAAATTTATATCTTACGAGCATATTTTACTAAAAATTTCTGTTGATTTGCTGGTAATTCAATTTTTCATATTTAACTGATAACTTTTGTTGAGTATAGCTTTTATAGTTCGAGTTCAGTACTAAGCTTTTTGAAATTATTAAATAAACTAAAAAACATTTTATTCATACGAAAAAATGCTTGCATCGTCTGGTAATTTTTCTTTTGAATTCATTCATGAAATGTTACTTTCCATTCATATTCATTGAAAAAAAAAAAGGAAAGAATACAAAAACGTTTCACAATGTATCAAATAATTTGTCATTCATATAGCAAATAATATGGATGAAAATTATAAACAAATAATTGCAGTTATTGCAATGTATAAAAGGTGAATGATTTCCGTAAGTCATAAATGATGGTTTTAAAAAAAGTGCCACTGATTTTTATTTTCTTGTCAAATTACGAAAACAAATAACAGCAATGAAATGTGAGTGAAATTTAGAACTGAAATATTTATTTATTTTTCTCTCGTTCTTATTATCTTTTTTTTTGCTTTTTCATCTTCAATTGCTTAACTTTATTTTTGAGAAACGTTGAAAAAATGTTTTTAATTGAAAAAGATCCTCATTTTTCATTTCATCGATTTTGTAACATTTATGTCCTTAAGTCTTGTTTTCCTTTCTTTGATTATTTCTTATTTTTGTTTCTTTCAGCATTAATGCTCGAATTCAGCCTATGAGCATTTTCTCACATGTTTTGTCATATTAATTGAATTTTTCTGCTTTTAAGTTTTTTGTTGAATTAAATTTGCATCCAAGTGCGAGGAAAAAAATGGAAATTTTGCAAAACTTTTAACAAGCATAATAATGAGTAGAGAAAATGAACGAAGTAGTAATAGTGTAAGTAAGGGGCAGGGTTAATTCAGCAAAAATTGTTCACAAAAAGAAAAAAAAAGAATGAAAATTTTGATGAAAATAGTTGAAAAGTGAAAGAAAATGCGAGAAAAAACAATGAGTCATGAAGAAGCGAAGGAAAGAAATGGAAATAAGATTGTACCGAGGGCTTTCGAATTTTTCCTATATATATATTACTCACCTTCTCAGTCATTTTCCTTTAACTTCATTTCACAATCTCATTCTTTTATTTTTTTTTCTTTCTATTCTATTATCTTATGTAGTCAAAGCCTAGTTATGAAACTAGCCTGTTAATCATCAATAGGACAATAATCGATGTGTTGCTTGTAATTTTGAGTATTAATGTTAAATTGATGTGTCTCTCTTCCTCATCTTTCCTTCTCTTCTTTTCTTTGCTTATCTCTCTCCCCTTTTTTTCCTTTTCTTTATTTCTCTGTTTGCATTGTTTGAAAATTTTTCCCAATCTTTATCATAATCACATATTGTCATCTTGAAATTTTTTTTTCTGTTATGCGAAATAATATTATATTTGTTCATTCGTCATAATCGTTTCTTATTTCTCCTTTTTTTTTTACGAAGTGATTGTTCTTCATCCTTTATCTCTTTCTTCTTCTCTCTATTTTGTGTTCCAAAGTGTTTACCAAAGAAAAGGAATAAAAGAGAATTGGTTTTTCATTTCGATTACTGCATTTACTTGTTTACTTATATACTTCTTTATTTGCATAATACATATATGTCATGACAGTGACTAAATTATTTTTCATTTCTTTTTTTTTGGGATTTTTTTTCTTGATCCTACATTTCACTCTGTATACACCTTTAATTTAATATTTTCTCTCACTTTCTTTCAATTTTCAACTATTTTCATCAAAATTTTCATTCCTTTTTTTTTTCTTTTTCACTTTGTGATTATTTATTCGTAATGATGTTTTTTATATTTTAATTTTAATTCTATTAATACATGCATTCGTTAAGCGAAAGGCAAATTTTTTTCAGTTATATTTCTTCATAGTTTACTTTGAATAGTCCTATTTAATTGGACTATTATATAATAATTAAAGGAGACTATTACAGAGTAATTAAGGAAGTAATCATTTTTTAATGTGAATGAAAAAGAATAAAATAAATGCTATGATTTGATTTTGGATTCGAAATGAAATTTATAAAGAAGTGATATGTTTAGGTAGCAGTTTATTCGTTGGGTAAATTTATAATTTGAAAATTTGTGTAGGTTTGAAATAATTTTGAAAGTTGTATTTTTTTTTATTTTTCAGGATTTAATAGAATCAGATTTAACGGTTGTTGGTACAACATCAGCAGGAAGAGCTCATAGTGTTTTATCATCGTGTGACGATCAGACACATTCAACAGCTGAGCAAGAAGAAGCATCGATCGCTGGTGGATTACTTTCGGTGAATCTTCCATTAATTGATCCAACGATTGAGTCAACAGCATCATTCTCTGATCCCGCTGAATTTGAATTGCCGCCGCCAATGAGTGAATTAAGCAGCGCCGTAGCTGATGCTGCTGCATCTCGAAACACATCAGTAAGTGCTTTTTATTCAAAAAAAAAAATTCCTTTTTGCAAATTTAATTTTTTTAGCGCATTTCAGATTACTTGATTTCTTTTTACTTTGTCTGCATCACTTTGCGGTAACTTTCATCCCTTTCATTTTCATACATTTCAGTTTCTTTCCTTTCCTTGCAATTCAATTTTCCATTTTTTTCTAGCTCATTTCAGTACCATTTATTAGTAAGAGAATTGTTACAGATAATTAATTTATTTAGCGTTTTGTATTTCTCTGAAGTAACTGATACAATTATTCATCAGGTATTTTTAATTCTCGAAACACATTTCACATTCTTCTAAAGTTTACTTTTAGGATTTCACTGTTTTGCTAGAACTCTTTTTGAATAAATTTGCAATTTCTTTAGTAGAAATCGCTTTATTTATTCGTCCGTTTTAACTTTATTCATCAAATATTTAATTTATGATGCCATGGTAAATGTTATAAGAATTACTCAAATAGTCTTTTTTTCTTGTTCGACATACCACAATAATATCATATTTGAAGTACCATATATTAATTATTAACTAACAAATTTGCAGAATAGTATTATATACAGTTTACATAGCAAAATATGAATTGAAATTTTATTTTTAGTGATTGTTTTAATAAACGTAGCGAAACTTTTACCTCTTTTCATTAGCATCGTAGTGATATGCATAATATTATAGTTATGTGGTAAATCTGAATTAAAATTACTCTTCGATATATACTATATCTTTTTGTAAATTTATCCTAATTTCATTAACATAACATTATTCTTGCAATTCATAGTAACAAATAAAAAAGTAACTTGCGAATTTTCCTGTCAAAAAAATTATATACAATTTATGTTACTTCCATTACTGATGAAGAATATGTTATAATGAAGAATATGAATGGTGTTTGTTATTTATAATGAGATGGTATTATGCATTTAATGTTGCTAATGTCAACGAGAGAGAAAAAGAGGAACTAGTAATCAGTTAGTGAGTGAGGAAGTATTATGCCATAGCTTGGAAGAAGTATTAACATATTAATTATTATCATATTAATTGTCAGCTGATTTTATGATGAATAACTGATTATCGAGACATATCGTCTATCTGAATAGATTATTCTCTTCTTAATTTAACTTTGCTTAATTTTCAACATTATTATAAATTCTCTGGTGATAATGAAGGACAGTTGACAGAGAATATTTGAGAATTTAAATACATCATGTATCAGCATAGAATTTTTTTTATTATTGGTGTAGCAAAAAAGAGGAAATGTTTGAAATAGTTTATTAGATAGCTAAGAAATAAATGTTTGGGAATAGGAGGAAAAGAGAAGAAGGAATTAAAGATTAAATAAGGGTGAATGTTGAGAAAGGACAAATGATAATGGGGCTAGATTGCGTAAATTGCTGCTTGCAGTAATGTAATTTTTACCTATCTAAGTAAGCATGTTATTTTATTTTCAGCTTTGATGAAGGAAATGGGTTAGCATAAAGAGGTGAAAAGATGTGTGTATATTGATGAGAAATAATGAACTTATGCTGTTTGAAAGAGTAAATGCAAAGAAATTCAAAAACAAGATTGGCTCATTTAGAAAAGATCGAATTTTATAACATCGCTAGCTAATCTAAATCAACTATTGATAAGCCAAACTGATTGAATGATGGCAAAAAGGGAAAGGAAGGCAAAAAAAGGGAAGGAAGGGAAAAAGAAGGAGAGATAAATAAAATCCCAAGAGTGTGTTGAACTATTTCTACACGCAAGTACGCACACATATATGTATATATACATATATATATATATGTATATATATGTAGAAATTATGGAGTAGAAATATTCAAAATAGAGTTAGAGGAGATTAGGATAATGCGATATATTATATATGAATTTTAGGGTAAGTAGATGGATGCATATGGAAAAAAGGAAGGGTTGAAATGAAAATGCTTTGCCCGCTTCATACATGGCTGATTACCAATTCATCTCAACCAAACATTATTGCTTTTTGGTTTAGAATTTTTTTTTTTGCTATTAAAAAAAAGAATGAACTGCTTAACATGTATGTATCCAATTTGTATTTAGCAGAAATGAGAAAATCACTTTTACTAACAATTTTTGCATATATTTTAATATATTTATAGACATCTTTTTAATTTTTTTTCTTTTTAATTTTTGTTAACATAAAAAAATTTGAATATTTTTATTCACAATAATATTGCGGATAATTTCATTGATTGGAACTTAAAATCTTAAAAGATTTCAAAAATAGCAAGCAGTATTTCATATAAAATAAATAAAGAAAAAGGTTATGAAATAAAGTAATCTGAGACTTCATTGAGAAATTTCTTTTTTTTTCTTCAAAATTTTTCATACATATGATAGGAAAATGTGCATGCTCATTTGTAATACATTATTGATTGAGTATTCATTGTTTATACAACTCAAAATTGTTAACTATTGAATTCAAAATGATAGCATCATGTAGATTGTAATTTAACGGATTATATCCGGAGTGATTTTACGGGAATTTCTATGGCGATAAATACATCCATTCCGACATGTAGTCAATGTTCATATCGATTGACGGGGTTAGGAAATGTTACAGTACTGTTTGTTTTTCTTTTTTTTATTCTTTCAGACAGATCGATTTTTATTGTTTGCTGAATGACTGATGTATGACGGGATATGTTTAAAGAAATTAAGAATTATAGGGAGAAAGTAAGAAAAGGAGGAAAAAAGTGTAAAAAATTGAAATATTATCTTGAGTCGGTCACAGCTTTATTAAAAATACAATTATTTTATCCTTAAAATATTAATAGCTTTATTTAATCCAATTTTTTATTTTACCTGTTAAAATTTTCATACATTACGCACTTTGATCTTTGATCAAATGATACATGTGGTGATAGCTAAAGTAAACAAGGAAGATAAGATGATAGAAGCCAAAGTGGCGGTTATATAATACTTGTTGTGTTATATTATCTGGAAATTATCAGTTTTCCCCACAAACTTTTTTTCGTCCCATCTTTCTTAATTTATTGCATTCCATGAAAATTTCCCACAGAAAGTAACCGGTAAAGGGAGGAAGAAGAGAGGATGAAGAAGAAAGGGAAGGAAATAAAATCGAACAGTTGTTGGTTGCTTAGGGAAATAGTAATGACGTCGGGACAAGAAGGGATAAATGCTTATTCCGAGAGATTCCACCTTCCTATTACTTTTATCCTTCTCTCTTTCTTTTTCACTTTTTCCAGATGTTTTCTGTTTTTAAAACATTCTACCATCATTCTTTGCCTCCCTCCATTCCTCTCTTTTTTACTAGAATGACATTTGAGAAGAAATAATATACAAAAAAAGGAAGATAATAAAAAAAAAAGCATTTAAAAAACTTTTTCCATTTTTGAAACTTGTTAGTGTATTTTTTCTGCTTTTAATGATGTTGTTAATTATAATTTTAATTTTATCGAAAAAAGCAAAGCAATTAATGGTCCTCTCGTCCCGTTTTGCGTAATTTGAAAAAAATTTTCCAAAGTTTTTACAGCAAAATAAAATGAAAATTTTTCAAAAACTTGACATGATTTTTTGCTTGTGAATTTTTTCACTGTGAGAGGATTTTTAAAGGAATATGGAAAGTTGCATGGAATAATTCCATTTTTCAAGCTTTGCGGTTTTTTTTGCTTCTTTTTAAAATAAATATACTTACATATATATGGTACATTTGAGAATGTTATTATTTCTTGATTATAATTAATATTATATCCGTATATTTAATAAAACTGCTTGCAATAAAGTGCGTTTCGCCATAATAGAACCATGTGTAAGCATCATAAACGGTCGTTTTAAAGTTCTTTTTTTTTGAAAAAAATATGTGATCAAATTTTGAAATTGTGTGCTGATTTCAAATGCTGAACATTACAGATGGAAGAAGAACAACATGCAAGCGATGTGTTAGTTATTTGCACTGAAACAACGGAAGATCAAAATGATATTTCAGAAAAGGAAGAAAAAAATCCTCAAGATATTGCGAGGCAAAAGCGACAGTTCGTATTTTTTTTTTACATCTGTTTAATTTTGTAATATAAATATGATCAATAATTATAACTGTGATTAGCAGAGTTCCTATGACTTAAAGTTAAATTCATGATGATTTTACAACTGTGATTGTTATAATTTAGCTAATAGGCATCATTGATGTTGGTTATCATTAGCTAATTATTGTTGCAACTTATAGCTTGAATGCGGAATGATTTTAGAGTTATGATTGGCATAATTTAATGATTGATTATCATTAAATATTGTGATTCATATATTTACTCATATTAATAAATTTTCGTATTTTAATTTCGATTTAGATATGTATTAATGGAATTGGTAGATACAGAACGAGACTATGTGAAAGATTTGAGTTCAGTAGTAGATGGGTATATGGCAAATTTGCAAACGATGGAATTGCCGGAGGATTTGATTGGCAAAGATAAAATCATTTTTGCAAATATCGCTCAGATTCTTGATTTTCACAAAACGTAATTTGTTACTTTAATTTTTGTTTATTTTTTATTATTCAGAATTTTTTACTGACATTACAGTTGTCAACAAAATTCTCTGTTTCATTTTTTCAGGTTATTTCTGAAAGAAATTGAAAAGTGCCTTGAAGATTATGAAACTGCGGGTAATGCCTTTGTTAAATATGTAAGTTCATCATTTTGCGTTTTTCTTTCTAAAGAGGATTTTCAATTTATTGGAGTATCGGAATACTTCATATAATCACAGACATTAAAATATTACTTAAATGAAAGATAAGGGATTCACATAGATTTACCGCAGTAGACTTTGCATTAGTTTCGTCCAATCGATATCCACTATCCGCTTTAATTTTAAACCTCATTAATTTAAAAACTTTTAACAAGCGACTTTTAAATTTTCTGCGTAATGCTTTTATCACTTCATTAATTGCTGTTTAGATGTAAACTAATTATTCAAAATTGTATCCTAGTAATATACAGCAAAGTATGAAAAAAATTTTTTTTTTGATTAGCTTGCATTTAAAAACTTTGTCGATCAGAAAATTCACTTTCAATAATAGTAAAGGGCGTGAAATTCATTAGCTGTTATAAACTATCAATTAACTTGTAAGTTAATAAATGTGATGGATCGATACTCGTTCAGCTTTTTGGACGTGTAAATATTGAATCGAAACTGTTGTCATTAGATCATAATAAATATCATCAATAATTAATTTATTGTAGGAACGAAGGCTACATACATATTATGTGAAATATTGTCAGAACAAGCCAAAATCTGACTTTTTGATGGCACAAGATGATTTTGAGCAGGTATATTTGCATTTATAGAGTTTCTTTTTTTTTTCTCTTCATCCTATCGTTTATCATTTTTAGCTTGTTTTATTGTCAGTTTTATTTTGCAATCCATTAGCGAATTCTATTACTGGATTTTTTTTTACACCAGAATTATCTGAAATATTCAATTTCTCGGTATATGATATATGATACCCTTTAAAATGCTCTCGTCATTATCATTTGTTGTGAGTTTACTATTTGACTGAGACTCTCAGGTTTTCAGTGAATGATTTGTGATATCATCTTTATTATGTAATTGCATGAAAGTTTCGAAGATATTTTTTTACTGCGCTTGCATTATCCAATTGTAATCATCCTGAAATAGCTCAAAAGTTGCTTGGTGATGAATTTTATGCCTCACCTTTATTTTTTATTCAGTAAACTATGCATTTGCTTTATTTAGAAAAATTATAAAGATTAGTTGTAAATAAGAATTTTTTCAAAAAAATATTTAATTTGAAAATTCTAGTTTTTCGCCGAAACAAAGCAAAAATTGGGTCATAAGATAGCGTTATGTGATCTGTTAATTAAACCAGTGCAGCGTATAATGAAATATCAACTACTGATGAAGGATATTTTGAAATATACGGAAAGAGCGGGTGATCGAACGGATATCCTGGAAAAAGCTCTTCAGGTTCGTTGTTTATTTATTGAGTTAATATCGGTTCTTAAAAAATTATGTATACAAGTAAGATCATATTTGCATTTTTAAATGCAGATTTTTCTTAGTTAACTAGAGAATTGTAATTAGACTTTAAAATTTGTTTTTTTTTTCTTTGATACAAACTTAAAATCACCACATTCAGTTAGATGCTGGAAAGCCAAACATTATTTTACGTTTAATATACAGCAGTACTGTGACACATATGCGACCGTGGGATAAAACTGAAGAAGGATCATGAATTTTGTTTTCTAGGTAATGCACGTAGTACCGAAAGCATGCGATGATATGATGCAAGTTGGCCGATTGCAAAATTTCGATGGAAATTTAAATGCTCAAGGAAAACTGATATATCAGGTTCATTCGCCTTTTTTATCATTCTCAAAAGGCAAGAATATCCATGACTATATAAGTTTAGCATTAAGTGTTAGTATTCAATAAATTTATATAATTTTAAAAGCGGATAATATACCAGTACCAGTTCATACCTATACAATATACGTAATACTAAGAAATTTTTGCAAATTTCTTCTTAAGACCGAAAAAATTTCAGGGAACAGTGGCAATCTCAGATAATGCTCCATCACAGCCTTTCAAAGGAAAAGATAGGCGAATATTTCTGTTTGAGCAGTCTGTAATTATTGCTGATTGCATTTTGCCGAAGAAAGAATTTGGCAATCCTACGTATATTTTCAAAAGTCAAATTATGGTCAACAAGGTGAGTTTACATCAATTTTACGTAGGAATCTAAGTTTTTATTTTTGTTCCATATAGTTGATTCTCAATATTAGTCCCTAAATAAATGTGTAACAGATGCTGTAAGATCAGATAACAGTTTTTCGATCCTAATTGTCCGGTTAACGAATTTATTTTAGGATCCTTTTCTATTTTGATTCCAAACATTTATTGTTTCAACATTTTATTATTTAGGAAGTTAAATTTTGGTTGAAAGAATTACAGAATTCTTATAGATAGAAAAATCGATTGGTATAATTTCTATGTAATTAGAAAGTATAATTTATTTCTGAAAAGGGTAAATTCTTTTACCATTTCTTTTTTCTGAACAATGATAATGGAATTCATTTTTTTCTCTCTTTCTTTTTCTAAGTTTATTACAGTGTTTTTCTGTTTAAATTAAAAATTAATCACAGTTGATTTGCACATAATGAGAGATTGAATAAAATGGAGAAAAAGAAATAACATTTTGATGATTTCATTCTGCAACATGATACGTAGTGTCTGACATGAAAAAGTAACTTTTACTGACGGGTTGCAATATGACGTAAGAAATTGAAATTATTAACATCTGACGATGCAGAATACAAAAAGTATAACAGAACACGATTTTATTGAATATCATAAGTTCATCCCTCTTATTTGTTAAGTTGGTTCATGTTATCTGAGCTCACGATTTTTTTAACAAGAGTTGAACATTATCGATTTATCGGCTCTTGTTAAATAGCTTTTTTCTTGGAAACAGTTTAGTATCTTTTTTTTTATTGATCGATTATTAATTCATCCCTCTCTTACAAAGCCAAAATGGAGTTCTTTAATGTAAAGAATATAACGGAAAAAGCAATAATTTAGTTATTAAAAAAACTTGAGAAAGAAATGAAAAGTAAAGAAAATGTAAGAAATGCATTATGAAGTTTTCTTTTCAAAGAAAAAAATAAAGCAGAAAAGTAATGGGCAGCATGTGGTATAATTTAATGTCATTGTTTAAAGTTTCTGACTTTTGAGTTTTGAATTTTTAGATTTTTCTTTTTCTGCATTATAGCTTTTATGAAGGGGATGGTGAAATAAATAAATAAATGGTTGTTTGTTTAAACAAGAAAAAAAAAGGAAAATGAGACTTTTAATTACTTAAATTTGTAACAGAGAGAAAGTTTTAAAGTCTATAAAAGAGATACTAATCAGTTATTCTTGTATTTTTCATCACTTCTTTCTTCAGTGCAAGAATGTATAAATATAATGATGGGGAAATATTTAATCCTCCGAATTCTTAGCAGAATTCTTAACAGTCTTTAAAACTGCTATAATTATTTTCGAATTTGCTGGCCATCACGTAAATTTTGTCCTGTTGCGGGATTTATATTTGATGGTTACATACTAAAGTATAAATGTTCTCTCTGCAGAATTTTCGAATAATATTATGATTTTTTTCTTGACTCAAAAAGTTAGTCCTGGGATGGTAATTTAAATCCTTAAAATTTTTTCTTTTCAAAAAATCATTCGAAAAAAATTTTTCAACTTTTTCTATAATTTCGATATCAATATTTTCTTTACAATTGAATAGCATTTGCTTTGTGTATTGCGAATTCATTTTTTTTTGAATTTTTTTAAGGAATTAGTTTTTCTTTGTACAAATTAACAAATGAAAACAATTTTGTATTTTCATTTGATTCTAGATGGTATTAGAAGCAAATCTTCCTGATGAACCGTTACGTTTCATTCTGAAGAGTAATGATCCGGCACAACCGAATGCATTCTTAGCGCAAGCTAATACAGTTGAGGAAAAAGATGAGTGGATTTTGAAAATAAACAGCCAGTTGGATCAGCAAAAAACACTTCTGGCAGCTTTGGTAGATCCTAAACGTTATCAAAATCAACTAGCTGGAAGTGTCAATTCATTATCATTGTAAGTTTTTGTGTCTCCTTTTTTTCGGCAGATGGCAGTTTTTAAATGCTAACTGAGATTATCTTTTTTTTCAAACTTGATTACAATAATATCGAATTATTAGATGCTACAATTCAACTAACTAGAAGTAAATTGGAAGCAACCTGCAGTTTACTTCGAAGGCAATAAGCCATCTAACAACTAATTTTTTAGAATTTCCTGGATTATATATTGGTTTTTCGAAAGACAGAAAAAGAGACTATTACTTAAAATAAATTAAAAATCATGCTTTTTTATTCTAGGACATAATTGATATATTCTTTTGGCTTATATTCCATTTTCATCTAGGGCAGAAAGTTTTAACCTTTATAATGAATTACTTTTGTTACATCTGATAATTGATAATTGTATCGGAAGGATGCATTTGGTATTCTTCTTTCAGCCTAAGTTTTTGTTGAACTGTAGTTTTCCTTTTCTCTTCATTTTTTTCGATTTGTTTATTTTAAATTTCAGGGAAGAAACGGATAAGAAGACGCTGTTTCCCCGATTAATGGGCAAAAGTAAAGAAAGCAGTCACAGTTCTTCAGATGCTTCATCTTCGATGCATCAAAATTCGAGCATCCAAGCATTGCCGTCAAAGAGCAATTCATCAACAAAATCATCGAAGTTGTTCGGTTTTGGGAAAAAAGTGAATCCAGCAAATAGTAACAAGTCAGCAGCAGTAAGTAAATTGAAATAACAGTGAAGATGATGTTGGAACAAATCAAAGAAGAATGAAGAGTTAATGTTGTCAGCCTTTCAGTCATACTTACGTCCTTTAAAAGTTAATTAACTTTATAGATTTTTCATTCGGTTTTTCAATAATTCTAGTGAACCCCCTGGAAAATTCGGCTTATTTTTCCCAATTGTTTAATTCCAATCCAGTTGATTTTTTTCCTTCTTATTTTTGCTTTAAGACACCAAGTTATGCTTTTTCGATAAATGACTTTTCTGAATCTTATTGTCTGGCAAGAAAAAGTTGAGTAGAAATTATCATCCATTTGACTAATGACAATTAAGCGAAGTCTGTTCAGCGATTTGCCATTCGGATGAAATAAAGGAGAAGAATCTTTTTCTTTTTTTGGTAATGTGCAATAAAGAATGAATTAGAAGTTTGTAAAAATTTCTAAACTGTACAAAGAAATTCTTCGTACCTTTTTCCTTTGTATTTGAACTGGGCAGCTTCTTTTTTTATTCACTGCTTTACTGATGTAATTTATTTGCATATTTTCGAGTGAATTTTCTTGTTATACGATATTTATTATGAATAGCTATTGTATATCAGTAGATTTATATAATTCGGATGCTAGCATTTGTTTCAAAGTTGGTGAAGATGTTTTGATGTTGGATCAAAGAATTGGTGAAAGATATGAGGATTCTTATTTGTTTGAAATTTATTGTTCGATTCAAATGTAATACATGTATTAAATTGTTGAGATTTGATTCAAATTATATATATATATATATATATAATTTGAAT